TTTCAATTTTGAGGGTGTTCTGGTGAAAATGGTTGTATAAGGTATGAATCGTCGTATAAAATTTGTATCTAAGTTATCAATACTATCTTTTTACATAAAGTTGTTAATATGTATCAAAATTGTATTAAGTTTTGATTAGAATTTTAGAAAGGAAGAAGCACGCACCACACACAAAATATATACAAATTAGATAAAAAAAAAATATTCAAAAGACATATTGTATAAATTTATCTAAAAATTGCATTTAAATTGTATGATATTGTTGTTGTATTTAACCGGGTAGAAATAATTTATGAAAGTTGTAGATAAGTTGTAAATAAGTGTATACTGTATAGTTAGTTGTAATTCAATATTACAAAATCAGATGCAATGTGACTAATTCAATATTACATTCCAAGTCGCAATTGACTATAATTTCATTGAGGGTAAAATTTGATTATGTAATTTGACCAAATAACTTGTGACTATAATTGTCAAATATGTCAAAAAGTTCAAAATGTCTCTGTGCCAATTCTCAGTACTTGTACTGAGTATTTCCATTTGTCTAAGTAATAAGGAGCCTTATTTTCAAGTTGGTTACGTGATAGACCTGCAGGTTTTCGGTGCGTATGATGTAATTTTGATTTCCTCTGCGTTACGAAAAGTAATGCAGGTTTAAGGAAATCAATTGTGTTAAGCTGATAGCATAATCAAATAAATATTATTTGCTGAAAGACATTTGCTAAAGAAGAATTTCGTGATGCTTAATTGTGTGAATATTAGAGTTAAATGCCAAGAGGTGTTGTTATGTCAAATATCACCAGTTTCTCAAAAATTATACATGGGGAGGCAACTAGATTTTATCATCATACAACTATTTTTTAACTTTCATACAACATTCAAATAAAATAAAAAAAATATATATATATATAACTACAATAGAATATTATTTACCTACAATTTTACTACAACTTTACTACAATTTTGTAAGTATATTGTATGTCATGTCTTCTTCTTCTTCTTCGAGTTTCAATCTGAAATTCAGCAAAAATCAAGTCTAATCTTCACCAAAACATCCTCAAAATTGAGATATAAACTCCAAACAATATTCCTAATTGTTTGCAACAACACCCAATCAAAACAAATAATGATTTTTGAAAACCCAAATTCGATTTCCAAGCTTTTGGCTGTCAATGGTAGAGTGTCAAACACCTTCAAAATTTATTGATTGATAATTTTAATTTGAACACCAATTGTGCAACGTGAAAGGAAATTGCTAAGTTAAAACGATTGAAATCCATTGATGAATTCCATTAAAACTATATACAACAAGAAAGTATAAAAAAATAGAGAACATCAAATGAAGAAAAATTGGGGGAAAAACAGAGAAGGAGAGAGAGAGAGAGAGAGAGAGAGAGAGAGAGAGAGAGAGAGAGAGACGAGAAAGAATTAACACTGGTCTTTTTTATTTATTTAATATAAAATAAAAAGCATTTTTGTTTGTTAGTATGAAACGAGCAATTCAAATAATAATTCAGTCCTATTTGGCCTTTTTCATTTTCTGTCTCCCATAGAAAATCCAGAAAGATCAATGACATTTAAGAACACTCTGACTGATCAATCAAAGCTTCAAGAGCAACATTTAGTAGTTGAATTTGGATTAAAATGATAGTTTTGAAGCATTTTAAAGTTTCTTGAGATCTATACATTATACTTATTGCGCAGCCATCACCCCAAAAGAAATGCATCATGTCCAATTGCGGCACCGGCATCCACAAAAATAGAAATTTCCACATCGCTTTAACATTTTCTAGCTATATTCTACTCTCTTATTTTTATTCTTTTGTGTTTTGCTCCTTGTTACATCTTCTTCGACAATTTACTTAGGAAGTGTTATCACTCCAAAAGAAACTGAAGCTTAATACATAAAGCTACATAACATTTGTTAGGAACCCTACAAGCAGGCCACTAATTTACAGCCAAATTAAATTATAACAATACGACTATCAATTAATCTACATCGAATTATACCGGACAATAATATGGAATCTAGTTAATTTCATCAGGCAAATATCAAATTGGTAATACAACATTCAGTTTTAAGATACAGTGGCAAGACTAGATGCCCAAAATTCTTTGAAAGAATACCCAAAAAAAGACCTAAAATACCGAAGAAGAAAAAGTTTCACTTCTCTACCCTAAATGCTTGGATAAAGCAAACACAAATTCATAATTAAACTGAAATTGAGTAAGAGAAGCTGTAAAACTATCGCATTCAAACACTAATTTACTACAGGCAAAAAGTAACACATACTAAAAACGAACAAATTGAAGAGTGCGTCGGAGAGCATAGTTGTGGAGGAAGAGGCGAAAACCTGGAAATTAAAGTTTGGGAGGAACGCTACCCTTGCAAAGGGACCACAAAGTATGAGAAGGAGCAAAGAATTAGGAAGAAAAAATTTGGGAAGATAGTTATCTATTAGGGATGTTTCTTTGCCTAAGAGAAATTTTATGGGTATAGTTCGTATAGATGTTATCGATTAGGGCTTTTTGCCTTTGAAAAATTGGGGCTGTGTGTTTATCGGGAAAAGAGGAAAACTTTGCATATAATTTCTTTTCTCATTTTGATCCCTTCACCCGATACCACATGACCCAAGAATGCCACAGAATCTAACCAGAATTCACATTTTGAGAACTTTGCATATAATTTCTTTTCTCTCAAGGTCTGAAGCGCTATCCTCAGGTGCTGCTCATGATCTTCCTGACTCCGGGAGTACACCAGAATGTCATCAATAATTACAATGATGCACGAGTCAAGATAAGGTCGGAATGCACTATGGATCAAATGCAGAAATGCTGCTGGGGCGTTCGTCATCCCAAATGACATAACAAGGAACTCGTAATGACCATACCGAGTCATGAAAGTAGTATTAGGGATATCTGGCTTCCGAATCTTCAACTGATGATAACCTGACGCAAATCAATCTTGGAAAACACTCGGACACCTTGTAACTAATCAAATAGGTCATCGATACGAGGCAAATGATACCAGTTCTTCACTGTAACTTTGTTCAACTGGCGATAATCAATGCACATTCGCATAGAACCATCTTTGTTCTTGATCACGCCCAACTATGCCTTAGAAAAAGGACTCTGCGGACGTTGCAAATATAACCCGAGTATTACGCCCAGGGTCGAATCCACAGAGAGTTAACCTATCAACCACTATCTTCAGACCCACTAATTCTTCAGAACCAGCTTCCCAAATATTCAAATCTCAGTTGAATGTTCTTTAACAACTACGCTTGCAAGTAACTAAATAGCTGTAAACTAAACTAATAAAGTTGTAAACAATTATGATAAAAAGCTAAGGCAATGATTTCCCCTATTGATGGAATCCCTTCTGTTTATGCTCATACAAATTTACCAACACATCTCTATCAATCATGAACGCTAATCTTACCGTAAATCTCTCCCGAGTAATCACAGTAATTTACTATTGCACTCTCCCGAGATACACTAGCTTACTTTATTTAGCACGATTTACTTTAGATTACACCCAAGGCTTCGTTATCCCTAATCCCGCCTTTAAACCGCAATTATAGATTCCTCTAATAATCTAGGAGTGGTGTTGTTCAACAATACCCTAAATATGCACTCTTTTCCAAGTTATGCACACTAAATAGGCACAGCTAATTGAGGATCCTGTCAATTAACTACAACAAACACGAAGTTGAACAAATACAGATTAAACTAGCAATTTGTATTCACATAAACAAGAAGTTCATCACCCAATAGGTTCCATCAAAACCTTAGACAAGGAATTTAGCTACTCATGGCTATGGGAAAATAAACTAAGATTGAATTCATCATAAAATCAAAAGTAAAGAAGAAAANATGTCAAATATCACCAGTTTCTCAAATTATACGTGGGGATGCAACTAGATTTTATCATCATACAACTATTTTTCAACTTTCATACAACATTCAAATAAAAAATATATATATATAACTACAACAGAATACAATTTACCTACAATTTTACTACAACTTTACTACAATTTTGTAAGTATATTATATGTCATGTCGTCTTCTTCTTCTTCTTCTTATTCTTATTCTTCTTCTTTCAATCTGAAATTCAACAAAAATCAAGTCTAATCTTTACGAAAATACCCTCAAAATTGGGATATAAACTCCAAACAATTATTCCCAATTGTTCGCAACAACACCCAATCCAAACAAATAATGATTTTTGAAAACCCAAATTCAATTTCAAAGCTTCAAATCTTTTAATAGCTGTCAATGGTGGAGAGTCAAACACCTTCAAAATTTATTGATTGACAATTTTAATTTTAACACCAATTGTGCAACATGAAAGGAAATTGCTAAGTTAAAACGATTGAAATCCATTGATGAATTCCATTAAAACTATATACAACAAGAAAGCATAAAAAATAGAGAACATCAAATGAAGAAAAATTGGGGGGAGGGGAACAGAAAAAGAGAGTAGAGAGAGAGAGAGAGAGAGAGAGAGAGAGAGAGAGAGAGAGAGAGACGAAGAGAGAGAGACGGAGAGAGAGTGGGCAAGTATAAATTGATAAGGAAATAACTGATATTCTTTATTCAATTCCTAATATAAAGGGATACTCATTTAAAACTTATTTGTACATAATTGATAAATTATATATGACCATGTATTAAATTAAAACTTGAGTAGAGAGGGTAATAAGGTTTCAAATAGTGTATGTAAAAATCCATTTAAAATTATGTTACTAATGAAATGACCAGTAGAATTAGCATTTTTATTGATATTGACAAAAGAATGTGACCCCTTTGGCAATTCCAAAACCCAAGTTCCGGTAATTTTTAATTTAAATGTTCATCTCAGACTTTTACTTTCTTATTTTGTTAAAGAACTTAAGGTAATTCAAGCCAAGGAAAAGTACTACTAACCAGTGCAGATTCTCTCCTATATGCGTCAGAATAAACCCTCTGTTTGCTTGAATAAAACTTCATCTATATCCAGCAGGAAATGGTAAATTGTCCATTGCATGACAAATTTAAAGAGGTTAACCAACAGAGATTATTGACACACGTTTAAAATTCAAATCAAGTGAGACCTATCTATCAAGAAACTGCAATCATGTGATGAAACTTAAGAAATCAAATTTAACCAGCAAAAAGTTTTAAGGAATTTCCTACTGGTACTAACTTTGTGAGAACGGGGCCAGTTTAAGCACCGCTACAGTTGACAATAAATGGTTTGACAAACTTGATGAAATCAGATGTCCTCATCCCCAGTTTAAGATCAATCTCACCACCTCCTAACCAGAAGAAGTCAGGGTTGAGCTTTGTAATTGCTTCATCCAAAATCACCTGGTAAAATTAGTATGAGTTACAACGCAAGTAGTACCACAATGGACAAGATAGTAGGCACTGTCTAGGAAAAAAAATATCTAGGCAGCCTTGCGAGAAAAATTCCTAAAAGCAGCAGCAAGAGTGAATACCGGTATATCTGTTTTCATGCCAACACACGTAACTCCATTGTGTTCGTAACCAGTTAGCTTCACTGATGTCTCCTCAGGAGCAAGCCTCACTGCAAAAAGCAACCAATAGATAATACTACTATTCTACATGAAGCGGACAACTTAACGTGACACCAGATATGAGGACAACTCATAAACTTGGAGCATATGTTTGTACTTGCTTCTAACAAAAATATGGTTGGAGTACATCAACAACCAAAAGATATAGTAATAATAAGCAGCAAGGCACATAAATCATATCTCTCAACCTCATAACTTCAGTTCTTTGCTGGATGTTATCTGAGCGGATAATTTGTTCCAGTTTTCTTAGTCTTGTATCCGGTGGCTGAATCATTTCATTGTGATTCTAATTAATCTACTTTACAGTTGCTGAGACAACATTACTGGGATGAGATAACAGAATTTCATGCTAGTTTATCTAGCTGGTTAAAGTAAAATGATCATATAAAGAAGCGCACCAGAACTTTCCATTAAGAGATCCTTTAAGCATATCATCCAAACACTAGAATAACAATTTATTCCTGAATTTCATGCTTCCACGAAACAATCAGTCAACAAGCTGTAATTTGTGAGAGACAATTATGCTGCCCGACAATTCCTACTTCCATCACTTGGGCTCCCCAATATGCTGAAGTCCATAGTAAAACCGCGAACAAGACAACACATATGACAAAAATATTGCTAAAGTCACCAGTCACGAAACAAGCACACAAAGTCCGACACGTATACTTGGCAGTGGGCCAACTCTCTTTTCATTTTTGACCATTAAATACACAGAAGAGGACATTCAAATAAAGGACCTCAATTCTAGAAATATTTCTCAATCTTTTCTCTTAAGCTGTAAGGTTAAAGTGGAATTGCAGAAGCTTCTAAAGTATGTAACTGATCCGAGGAAGACAAAAGGTTGCTTCTTTATACTCAATAAGACATAAACATATACTTTAATCAACAAACTTATGCAACATATGCAGATTCATTTGTGGTTTTTGATTTTGTTTATATATACATCAAAAGCTGACTAACTAGAGGATAATGGATATAGTGGATTCCTACAGCCGACCCCAATTAATTTGGGCTTGAGGCAGAGTTGACTCACTGGTTGATACATCAAAAGCTTGCACAGCTAATATCCACCTTTCAGCGAAGTTTTTTCTCACTATAATCAAATTAATTACTTCGAATTCGACATTTTCAGACATGGTGAAGATCCTCAAAGCTGCATATTTCTCTATTAAATTCTCATGCTGATCACTTTAACTGCTAGACCTGATGCAAGTATTGAGTAACTTAGATATGGAACTTACTGTTGAATTTCTTTTTGGCTATCTTGCCATCGTTGAGAGTGTACAGAAAATTCTTCACAGTCTCAGCATTGAATCGAGCAGTATACTGCAATCAAGAGTACATAAGAAGCACATTATGTTAGTGGTAGATACTGTTTCTAGCTCCCCAAAACCCAAATCAAGGTGTATAATAGTTACCTGTACGACAACAACGTAGTACTTTGAATTGTTACGATCACTACAATCAGTAATATTAGATGGGGCTTGAGTATTTACCTGCATTTGAGCAGACAGGATTTGACTAAGATAGAAAAGAACCTCATGCATAGAGACACTGAGATGATTCAAAGTTAAGGAGCATCCATTATCTGCTTATCCTCCCATCCCACCCCCACACATATACACACCAATTCACAAAAGAAAGAACGGAAAAAAATGAGCACCCGATATCATAAGCACTTTCAACACCACAATTTCATGCATAGATCTGCAAAGGTACAATGAGGTTTTGTTTGAGATATTTGTGGCTGTTTCTCACAAATTCACAAGGAAACAGAAATACAAGAGGAACATGACCAATATACCCCAAAATGATCACGTTTTGAAAAGGGGATAATGACTTCTCTGATCTTTGGCCATTCAGTTCAAACTTAATTCAAATTTTACAGATATTAATAATAATTGTGGCCAAGTATAAGCTTCCTAATCATAGGCTCATTGTTATGACTTGAAAAGTTACAAAGTTCTTTGGAATTAAACTGACAGAGGAAAAGGATAAAAAGATCAAATTCAACTCGACAAGGCCATAATCCTAGGAACAACTCCAAGAAAATTATCTAAACATACTTATTACAGAATTATCCAATTTCTTTTAGTGATAATGTCACCAATAATAACTTTTACACTCACTGCACAAATATCTGAAGCACATCTCCCCATGCTGAAGCAAAGTTGGATTTTCATAGCGACATGAAGCCGTATAAGGGTTTTCTTTATCTGTTTGTTCATACCTGCCATCTCATGGTCATGTTTTTATTCTTGCTCTTAGGGGTGGTAACATTATAAGGCCTTTTTGGTCCTCAATCAGTATTTTCTACTGTCGTTTATGTTTCTCATAGAAGTGAGGGGAAATATTCTCATATGTTGCTGCACCAGAAGTACATTAACTTTACATATCAAAAAACACAAATCAAATATCATACTTCTCCAAATTTAGTCACTTACGTTCTCAAGTACCGTTGTTATATATCGTGAGAGGTTTCATACTTACGTTTGTCAACAGATTTCACTCCATTATGTATTAACACATTTTTTAAAAATTCCCTCATCCAACATCACATCATCTAGAACAAGGTTAAGCTAAACCATCTCAATCTTACAATACCATGTCATCAAAACCAGAGAATTGAAATCTCATGCTTTTGCTATTCAACTTATAGAAAAGTTGTTTAGACTAAGTATATTAAAAGTACTCTCTCTGCTTCAATTTATATGACATTGTTTTCATTTTGGGACATTATAAATATTTGACATCATTTCTTTCTCTCCAACTTTAAAGATTCCAATCCATTAAGTTGCTCAAATAATAAATTTTGATGTGAATTTTCTTGACAAGCTAACTTTTCAACTATTACATACTATCAAAAAGAGCCACAAAAATACTTAATCCCTCCTCTCCTTTCCGGTTTATATGACACTATTTCCATATTAGTGAATTCCAAAAAGAATGACACGTTTTTATATTTGGAAACAATTAACCTCACACTTCCCATTTGACCCTTAACAAGAAGCTTTTATAGCAACACAAATCGCAAATTGTATGCCATGTTTAATACCATGCATTTCAAAAAATTTATATCCACACAACTATTAAGACATGTCTAAGAACACAAATTTCTAAAGTCACTCTTGCTCTGTTCCTTATACTGTAGGGTTGTTGAAGCCAGCCCCTTTGTAGGGAAACTTTCGTATCTATGGTTTAGTTTGCTTTCTTGGAGTCTCTTGCTCTGTTCCTTATACTGTGGTACGTGCTCACTCAAAGACCTTATATAAAGTTTAAATCAGTGTTATCAAAAGCACCAAGAAGCGCTAAGGTCCATAGGAGCTTTAAGCACAAAATGAAAATAAACCGTGGGCTTTAATAAAGAAAGGCGCAAATGGAAAAAAAAAAACACAAGTATGTATGTAGTCCAAGACTAATACTTATAAGCATAACTAACAAATACTATATGGACAAAGAGATTGGAAAAAAATATGATAAAGTGTAATATAAGTGGTTTAGTATCGCCTCTTCAGGATTACCGCCTGTTGAGCAAGGCAAACCGCTCAACATGTTTTGTGCCTAGCTTCAGGGCTGAAGTGCGCTTTAAGTGCGCCTTTGACAACAATGGTTTAAATTCCATGCGCTAACAATCTAAAAAGTATTTACAGGGCATATGAGAGGAATTATAGGTGACTATTTCTATGTAACATGATATAATAGGTTAAATTACACTGACAGTATAAACAAATTCATTACTCTGTTAGTGCATATATAACTAAAATCCTAAATACAATTGCGAAATTAATCATCTAAAAAAAACATAAAAGCGAAGTGGTACCAGAACAATGCTTTTGCAGAGATGATGAATGGATGCAGCACCGAGAACATCACGACGAGCTTCGAGAGGCCAATCATAGTAATCAGAGGGAACGCGCTTGAAGCTGAACTCTCTAACGCCATTGTCGAGGAGAATGCTTGAAAGGCGGTCTTCGGTGGCGGAAGCGGTGGTGCCGGAGGCGGAGAGAGAAGAATCGGCGATGGTGGAGGACTTGTTGGAAGTTTCTAGAGAGAGATTTGGAGAGGAATTGAAAGGAAGAAGAGAGTGCTCCAGGCTTGTTATCCGATCGAGGATTTGGGTCTGGATTTTTTCCAGCTCCACCAATGCTTCCATTGCTGTAACTTTTTCAATCCTTCTCTATTTTCAGTTCTGTACAATGGCGTTTGGATTAAACTTTTCATTTTACTCCTTTTAGTTTCACAGATTTGTCTTATTTAACTGCTTTTATAACTTGTGGGAAAAAAAAAGCTTTTATAACTTGAAAAAAGAAAAATTCCCGACTGCTCGTCTGCTCCACCATTTTACATAGCATATAATCTATTTTAGTTTGTCCAAATATTTTTTCTATTATATCTAAAAATTTAATTTGACTTGAATTTTTTTTTATTTTAATTTGACTTGAAATTAATTTATTTTATTTTATTATATCCAAATATTTTTTATTTTATTATAATCTAAAAAATAATTTATTTTATATACTTATCTATGATTGCTTTTAGTTTACAAGTTTCAAAAATCTTTTATCCATTTCTTAAGCCTCGTGCAATTAAACATTGCTACATAAATTGTGTTCAAATTTCACCGAGTATTTCTTTTATTCTTCTCCGATCCCTTAATGTAATAGAAAATCTATCTAAACAAAATCCCTTCATTAGAAAAGTGTTTAAGTAAGACCAGCTTAATTTCCACTGGCTGATAGAGTTTTTCGTAGCGCAGTCATTTGTTGATTCGGAAAAGGTCCAAATATGCGCTTATATTATATGAAATTGAGCGTATTGGCCCTTCGTTAATAATTTAGTCCATATATATTTTTACCGTCACATAATTGGTCCATATATGTCCTTGTCGTCACATAGTTGACCCATATATTCCCTAACCATCACATAGTTACCCTTTTCGAAACGGAATCCACCCAAACTAATTAACTCTCTTTTTTCCTCCTTTTTCTTTCTCCCATATTCGATTTCCTCCATTGCTGATGCTTTCTCCATTTTCCTCACCGACTTCACGTGATTTTATTCCTTAAAATCAAACCTAGACCATCAAAACCTTCCAAGCGAAAAGGCTCTGGTTCTTCTAAGAAGAAAGAGATGAAAATTGTCGGAGAAATTTTTTCAATGATGTTAATTTGGTGAAGGTAGTATATGGTTATTCGGATTTTGAAGGTGTTGTTCACCGTGGAGCTTCAGATCTAAAAGGAACAAGACCTTCAAAATTTGAATAACCATATCCTACCTTCACACAATTAACACCACCGAAAAAATTTCTCCGACAATTTTCATCTCCTTCAAGTCAGAAGAACCTGTGAGGTTTGTGATGGTAAAATTAGCAGGAATTTATGAGTTTTGTCAAGTTAAAGTGGTAATAAAGAAAATGAAAAAGGCATCAGCAATGGAGGAACTCGGATATGGGAGAAAGAAAAAAGAAAATAAAAAGAGAAGAAAATAAAAAAGAAGAAAAAAAAAGAGAAAGGTAAAGTAAAAAAAGTACTAATAAAAAGGAAATAGTGTTTGTAATACATTTTAGTACAATTAACGAAAGAACTAATTAGTTTGGGTGAATTCCGTTTCAAAAAGGGCATATATGGATCAACTATGTGATGGTAAGGACATATATGGGCTAAAGTATTAACGAAGGACAAATGTACTCAATTTCGTATAGTACAAGGACATATTTGAACCTTTACTGTTGTTGATTTAAAATTTCGAGTCTAGTTATATTAATTTATGCTACAAGCTAATAATTAGAAGCAGAAAATAAAGAAGACAGCCAGTAGTGCTTGTCTCCTTTGATATGATGACATCGAACGGACCTAATGTGTTGGTTATCGATTCGACTGGATCCAGCAATTTTGAATTAAATTTTATATATTTTTTTTTTTATAAAGTTTAATCTTTATTTCCTGGGAAAAAACCAATACATGCACTAATCTTTACAAAAAAATCCTCTCTATATTGTTGGACATGCAGCCCCAACCTATATAAACTGCTTCACTAAACAAATCATCTACACATCAAACTCTGTCTAAGGATAGAAATTCAGTGTTTGTAGCTTCTTTTCCAAGTTTACCCACTTTGAGCCTCTGCAATGTATGTCTTGGACTATCATTCTCACCAATTCTTCAGCTTTTCTTTTCTTCTTCCTGAAAATTCTCCAATTCCTCTCCTGCCATAAGTAGTATACAGCTCCAGCTAGAATCATTCTATATATAGCTGCATCTGATCTTCTCCCTGTTGCATATGCACTGGCCCAGCTTATTTCTTCCGACCATATCTTGGCTTTCCTTCATATTCCAGCCCAATACATTACTTTCTCCCACACATTGCTTGAGTATTTTCACGTAAAGAACAAATGATCATGACTTTCATCAGCTGCTTCACATAACACAAATTCTGCACTCGTAATATTACCCCATTTCATCAATCTGTCATTTGTATATAGCCTGTTTTGGACAGCTATGTACATAATGAATAGCCACATTGGACTACTACAGTTGTTGCATATTAATCTCCTCCATGTGACCTTTGTGAATTCACCCCTCATCTTGTTATATACCTCTCTGATTGAGTATTCCTTCCCAGTCATTACTTCTTTAATATTAATTCTTGCTTCTGTCAGGTATTTCCCAGCTTTTAAAATCTTTTGAGTTGTCCATGCTGCTTGGTTAGCCTTCACATTCCATGTTTTCTCTTTCTTTATATAGTAGGTATGCATCCACTTGATCCATAATCTGTCCTTCTTATTGCATAGGTTCCACATCTGCTTCAGGACTGCTGCTTTGTTCCAAGTAACTATATCTGTTATGTTCAAGCCTCCTGCAGTTTTTGGCCAGCAAAGTTGTGTCCATGCGACCAAAGCTTTCTTGCTCCCCTCTGCCTCCCCTGTCCATAGAAACTTTTTGCAAATGCTTTCAATCTTCAGTAGAATCTTTTTTGGCAAAGGAAACACTTGCGACCAGAATGATTGGATAGATAGTAACACACTTTTAATCATTTGTAGTCTCCCTGCATAAGATAAAAATCTTGCAGTCCAGCTTTGCACTTTTGCTAAAATTTTGTCCAGCAAGGGTTGACATTGGTTAACTGACAATCTTTTAGCGCTAAGTGGTACTCCGAGGTATCTGAAGGGTAAAGTGCCCAAAGAGAATCCCAAATTAGTCAATATTTGCTGCTGCACATGTCCTGGTACACCTCCAAAGTATATACAACTCTTTCCTTGGTTTGCAACTAATCCTGATGAGGAGGAGAACTGTTGAAAGCAGTCATTTAACATCTGTGCTGATTTGAGATCACCTCTACAGAAGAGTAGAAGATCATCTGCAAAACTGAGTTGCAGAATATTGAGTTTCTCACATTTCGGATGAAAATTAAAGTCTGGCTTGTGCTGCAAATTCTTCAACAACCTTGTAAGGTATTCCATAGCTAAAACAAATAGGTAAGGGGACATAGGGTCCCCTTGTCTCACCCCACGCTTGGCATCAAAAGGAGTAGTTGGCTTACCATTTATCACTATTGAATAAGTGACTGTAGAAACACAAGCCATTATCCATCTTATAAATTAGTCTGGTATGTTCATTGCTGCCAGTACTTGCTCTAAGAAGACCCACTCCAATGAATCATATGCCTTCTGCATATCTATCTTGATCATACACCTTGGAGATATACTTTTCCGACCATAACCTTTCACCAATTCATGTCCTAGTAAGATGTTGTCATTTAGGATTCTCCCTGGTACAAAGGCTGCTTGGCTTCCATCCACCAGATAATCTATTACCTTCTGCAATCGACTAGTAATCATCTTAGAAATAATTTTATACAGGACATTACAACATGATATGGGTCTATACTGTTTGATGGACTCTGGGTTTTTGACTTTTGGGATAAGGGGGACAAGGGTGTTGTTGAGTGGTTCATATTTGCAAAGAAGAATGCTGTATTTGAATCACCTAATTTGAGCCATTGTACCCTTGACTTTTGCTTATATATTCCTTCCTCAATCATACTCCATTTTTCCAGTTCTTTTCTAGCTTTCTTCTCTGCTTCAAACATATCCCTGCTCTGATTATTCTGTCTCATTTGAGCTTGCACATTTGCCAGTTCTTCTCTCTTCTGTTGTACCTTCTTTGTTATCCCTGTATATTCCTGCCTGTTTAAGTTCTTCAGGCCATATTTTACCTTCTTTAGATTCTGCATTATACCTTCCATCTTACTGCATTTATATTTCCAACCATTTTGCACTACTTTTTCAAACTCTTCATGTTCAGCTAGGCAATTGTAGAATTTAAAATGGTCTCCTTCTGCTATCATTTTCCTACCCCAATTCAATACTCAAAGGTGAGTGATCTGAGAACTGAGGATCTAGAACTTGCACTTGTATTGGTGCCATTTCTAGCATCCATTTGGCATTCACTATCCCTCTATCTATTCTACTATATACATGGTTATTTGTTCATGTAAACCCCCTTCCCACTGTAACTAGTTCTGTCATTTGGCATTCCATCATAAATTCTCTGAAGTCCTTTATTTCATTTATCTGTACTTCAATACCATTCATTCTATCCTCCATATCCTTAATTGCATTGAAATCACCCATGAGAAGCCAAGGTATTGTGATTTGTTCTTCCAGCTCTCTCAAGTTGTTCCACAAATAACTTCTATTAGCTATTGTGTGTAGCCCATATACAGTTGTAAATGCAAACTGAACAGTGTCATTCCCATTCTTCACTATTCCATGTATGAATTGTTGGTGAGCCTTCAGCTGTGAAAACATTATCTTGTTAGGATCCCACATCAACCACATTCTACTTTTACCATTCACTGAGCTGTTTGCACACCATTTCCATCCAGCAACTATTTTTGTAATCGTATTTTCAATCAAGTCATCTTTTATTCTGTGCTCTATTATTGCAATCATAGTTACTTTATTCACCTTTATAAACTCCTTCATCTCCTTTTGTTTATACACTTTGTTGAAGCCCCTAATATTCCACGTGACTATCTTCATGTTGTTATGATTTTTTGAGGTTCCTGCCCTGTATTCTCCTGCATCCTCTCCTGCTCATCAACTTTATCTGCCCAACTATTTTGCTCCAGCATTGGATCCCCCCTCAAAGGAGTAAATCCATTTGTAATTTTTAGAGCAACTTGTTGTTGATTGATCTGCTTGTTATGAGAACTTCTTCCACTTGCTTTTT